AAATTTGGTTGTTGGTAAAAACAAACAAAACAAAGCATTTTCTTAAGTTGGCAACCCTACTTGACTTCAGCAATGCATGCTGACCCCACCCAGGGGCCTCTTACCCCCACACCATGGTACTACCAATTGCACCCTGCTGCCCCCTCAGCTCACCCTCTCAACCTTACTGCTGCCACCCCATTTTCCTCATCCCAGCACAGACCCCCACAAAAATATCACTGTCTGTCTACCTGCCACCCAGCAGTGTTACAGGTAGATGGAAGGCAGCACCATCGGCACAGGGCTGGGAGTAGTGGGGGAAGGAGCCACAAAGCCCTAAGAACAGCTCCTGCTCAGGCACCAGGTTGGTACTGCTTTGTTCTGGGCTTCAGTAATACATTCAGCTTGCTTTCTGACCACAGAGCTTCAGTCAGCTCCATGCTTTTACGGAGCTGTTTTTGCTTCATGACTTATGGATGGCACAGTTTTTCTTATAAAATTTACAGACAGATGTTTTTAGCCTGGTTATTTATGGAGTGTCCGAAAATTTAGACAGCTGGCAACTCACTTGGTTGGCCACAGACTTCCCAGACAAATAAAAAATGTATGGCTTGTGTGTCAGGTCTTCCTCTGTAAAGTATCTGTTCTTTCCTGCTGGAGAGAGGTATGGTCCACCAGTGACCTATGAGGTGCCATGGCACCTGGTGATGGTGGACACCTATGTATCTAGACAGCTTGCCTTGATTTCAATGTTTGTCTCCTTGCCTTCCTCCCTGCATCTCACCTCCCTTCTCTTCTACAGTGGTCTATGGCTAAAGTAATCTTCCTCTTTTTCTGCTTCAGCAGTTATTTGATTTTTCTTCTGTTGTCTCCAGGGTTCCCTATTTCTTTTCACGTTATGTTCAAATTCTTTGTCTTTGTCTCTAAGACTCTGAATCAGTTCAGCCTCAGCGGTAACTCTTTCTTTCTTCCTTATTTTCCTTCTCATTCTCTTCATTTCTACTGGTCCCAGGTTCCCCCTTCATTCATGTTTCCCTTATATATGTGCCTTCCTCTCTTAATGCACTAGTCTCCCCTTTGTCTTTTCCTTCTCCTTTAAAGTCTTTCCTAAAATTCTGTTCTTCCCTGACTTCACTACTTGTTTTCCTCACAAACAGTGTCCGAGCTTTCCCGTATATGCTTTGATGTTTTGCATATCATTTTAGTTTGTCTCCCCTGATTTGCTCTTTGGAGAAGAGACATGTCTGATTCCAGGTGTTGGTGCTCCCTGTCCCAACCCTACCCACTACATGATAATATCTGTGAAATCCTACCACAAAAAGTTGTAGCACACTTAGGTTCATTTATGGGGGAGAAGTGGGGTGGATGTAGCTTCCTCTGAAGTATGTGGAAGCTGGCCACTGCTGCAGACTGGATAAGAAATTAGGGAGCCTGATATTTTTTTTTCCTTTCACAGTGACAGTTCCTCATGCCAATTTGTATGGAAGAATGGATTTATGGTTAAGACACGGTACTTAGAGACAAGAGACTTGTTTTTAATTTCTGACTATGACATAGCTGATGTGTGGTCTCAGATCAGTCACATCATCTCTGTATGGCTCACTTTGCTTATGTATAAATGGGGAATAATGATACGCAGCTCAGGGTGTCATATAAAGCTGAAACATTTCCTATTCACAGAGCGTGCTGAGACCCTGGGATGAAAGGTGCTGCTGATGTTTAAAGTGCCATTATTAGCATTAGAGTATAGTTCAGTATGATATCTAGCACAGCAGAGGTAGACATATAGTGTTATCCAGTGGGACATTCATAAAGGGCTAAATGAACCTAAGAAGCCTACTGCGATGCCCTCAGGAAATTAAAAACCATGCGCTATGCCGGCTTATGCTCGAATGCCCCATGCTGCTAGTTTGTTCAGGCTGGTCATCACAATCTGCAATCTCCTTTATTCCATCTCTGGTCTGCCTGCCGATGGGCTTAATTGTCTCTGAAGCCTACAACAATGAGCAGCCATGAAGGCTGCTGACATCTGAAAAGGAGCAGGTAAACTGACGCACAAAAATGTCATTTGAAGTCAATGTAAAGCACCGGGGAAGAATCAAATGGCATCTGATTCGGACCAGGGCAGGCAAAGCCTTCCTCCTGCCTTGACTGAGGGTCTCCAAACCTGAGCAGACAGTGGGTGGCACTCCAATTACAGAGTCCTGCATGTACAACGTTCAAAGCACGGTTGTGTGGGCAGCGTCCATTACACACTGGCAAATTGAAGTGAATGGAAATATTGTCCTTTCACTTATTGTTGTCACATTGTATCAGGCCATGGCTGATTTAATTTAGATTGTTATTGGGCAAATAGTTAGGGTGATATACAGCCGCTGTGCAGTGGCGCTCAGCACAAGTCCTATAATCTACATGAGGCCTGAGGCCTAGATGGGGGGTGTTGCATTCAAGTGGTGTATTAGCTTTGTGCTGCAGCCAGGCACAAGGCTCATTTTCTCTCCCGATGAATAATGTTCAAATTCTGCACTGACTTGTAACTGTATGCAGCCTTCCTGATGTAAACAGAGTTGTACAGGCTTTAAATTGGCTCTGAATATAGCTTAGTAGGCAATAGCTTAATTGTCTGGGAGGTTTTGAACTTGAAGACACCTGATGGTGTAAACGCTTCTTTAAATGAGAAGCTTGTCAATGGCATTGCTACTTTGACTTTGCATAAGGTTACAAGCAAAAACATAGGTGATTTTCTAGCTTGGCAATTAGTCACACATCTGCGGCTGCTGTTTTAATGATGAATTATTACTGTTATTGTTATTTGTGCCATATTAGCAGCAAGAGACCCCAAGTAAGTTTGGAGCTCCACTCTTTTAGGTGCTGTACAAACAGTCTTTGCTTCAAAGACTGTATTATCCAAGTAGACCACAGGGAGGAAATGGGAGTCTTATCCTTTCCATTGTACAAATGAGGAATTTGCCCAAAGTCAGACAGGATACCTCTGAGTGTCAGGTCTCTGCACTGCCAATCTAGTGCCATGATCACCAAATCATCCCTCTTTTCCTTGGGTTAATAATTTAAAAAATGAAAAATGACAAGTTTGCTCCTGGTTAGTTGTCTATACGTGCCATACTGCATAGTAACTAATTGTGAGTAAATTTGCTACTTGTATTATTTGTAATTAGAGCAAATTACTGTGCAGTAAGCATCTGCATGTGCAGACACTGATGCTTACTACAGAGTAATTTGCTCTAATCTAAAGTAAAGCATCTCATGTAGACGCACCCTGTGCGTATAGCTACTAGCATCTAGGCTTTGCTGGAAGATGAGCAAATATTAACAGCCTCCAGCATTGGATCTCACCTTCCCCAAAGCTGTTTTGAGGATTTGGACCTGGTTTCTGGCTTGTAGTTGATCCATTGCTAGTTATTATGCTGTAAAGGCTGCTGAACAGACAAAGTCATTTTGATGTCAATGCTTGCAGTGTTTCTTTTGTTTACTTCATGCCAGGATGTTGCTGAATATGAAAGTCTGTGTTTGTGCCAGCTTGCAACTCAGGCTCATGGCCATTGAACTGTCTGCCCAGAGCTCACTGATCCCTGTCTTCCTGCCACCTGCTGCCAATTCATGTTCCTGAGCCATAACTCCATGTATGGGGCTTGAAGCCAGCCTCTCCCAGCAGGGCCCAGCTGCCTATTTGGCTCCCACTGGGCCTCAGCTGCACACCCATTGAGTTAGCAGTCTTGACTGATGTGATGTGTTTCCATAGGGCCATCCCTAGTGGTTTGTGGAGCTCAGTACTGTCAGATATGGGCCCAATTACAAAGATCTAGGATTTCTCAACTGCTAGACTTGACTGCAATACTTTATATCTGAAAATGAAGTAACAGATTTTGAAAATCTACTCATCCAGAATGCGGCAACCCCTAACACTGGTAAGTTGGAACATTTCCCTTCCAAACTCCAGTCATATCCATTTCTCTTGCTGAAGAGTAAGCTAATCTGAGCTCATGGTGTTAATCTTCAGAGCTCAGTAGCTACCTCTTCCACGGCAAGGACTTCCCATGCTTCAGGAGGAATGGAGCTCTCCTCAGTAAACATTAGATCAATGACAGCTGGAGTCTGAGCTTTCTTAACAGCCATCCTATGACTATGGAGCTGCCTTCCTCAATGAAATATGATGACCTCAGATCAAGACACAAGACCCACCTGCATGCCTTAACTTTCCTCTAATAATAACATTGTAGAAAACAAGGAAACTGATGGCTAATGCATACAAACATTCATTTCTGCTTTTGGGCTGTGTGGAGGGGCCAGAAAATCAATAGCCAAAGACCTACCCTGCCTACCATTTTGGCTTGTGTGCAGAAGCTACACTGACAGATGTGATAAAAATATTTGGGTTGATAAGTCAGTGATGGGCACCTTGTGGCTGGTAGGGCAAAAGAGATTAACCATTTATTGGAAAATACATCATATCATAGAATCAATAGTTATATCATATCATATCATATCATAGTTTCATAGTTATGAAAGGATCCTAAGGATCAGCATAAGGATCCTAACTATAATTACAGACAGATCCAGAGAAACTTGGTCTACTATCACATGGGATGGCCTCAGAGGTGAGCACAATACTGCTATTTGATTGCTGAGACTGGAATAGAGTACCAGGGTGGCAAACTGAACCCTGGAATTCATGTAGTAATTGTGAGCTTTCCACGGTGAAGAGGTGGCTGATTTCTGTCTAACCTGGAATGCATTTGCTGCCCCAGTGCAGTAGAAAAACTGGTGGTCATGGAACATTACAGAGCCCTTTGCTAGAAGTTGCTTGTTCTTTCAGGTGCCTTCCTGATCCCCTATTTCCTGACACTGGTGTTTGCTGGGATTCCTCTGTTCCTGCTGGAGACTGCTCTCGGCCAATATACCTCTGTGGGTGGATTGGGTGTCTGGAAATTAGCACCCATGTTTAAAGGTACTGTACTGTAAATCCATGGAGCTGATGTAATTTAACTAGCTTTAGAGATTAACCCCATTACTGTCCTGGATTTGGAAATAAACCCTGTGGGAATGGGACACAGGACTTTGGGAAATGAGTGGTGAGCCAGTGTAGACAGTTATGCCTTCACTAAGGTGTCCAGGCTTCAACAACAATCCTGCTCTTGTTTGAATGACTTTGTTTGTTATAATAACAAAAAACTTACAGGTAACACTGATTTATGGAAGCATCCTGAATCCCAGTGACTGGACTGGGCAACCTAGTTTGTCTGCTCAGTCCAACTCCACAGACTTAATGGTAAGTATGCTTTTTTGTCTTCTCTTCCAGGAGTGGGTCTGGCTGCTGTGGTTCTCTCATTCTGGTTGAATATCTATTATATTGTCATCATTGCTTGGTCACTGTACTATCTCTTCAGCTCTTTCACTGGGGTGAGTTTCAGCCATTTCTGTAAATGCTAACTTGGCCTCTTATAGTGTATTTTCTAACCCTGTTTCTCTGAAGTGGAGTGTAATATATTACTTTTTGCACTACAAAACAGTGGTTTTCAACCTGTGGTCCATACTGTGTCTGCATACTATGTCTAAGGGATCTGTGAAAGATGACTATGATTGATCAAAAGTATGGGAATGCCTACATTTACAATTAAAAGGGGTCTGTACCTCCATTTGAAATTTTTTAGGGGCCCACAAATGAAACATGGTTGAAAACTATTGCTATAAAATATCACAACAGATTGCTTATGGATTGAGTAAAGCAGTTCAGTTAACACTGACCTTGGATTCTTCATCGAGACATTCATAAATAATTACAACAGTGGTTTAGAATTTCTCTATACTGATATTTTTCTTTTAAGCAGAATATTCCCTTTACAAATCTTAGAAATGTGTCCTCTGCAGCCCTGAGTCTTGTAAAAATCATCTAGTCTTTCTATCACATCCCTAGAGTTTCAGACCTTAGTAGTGACAAGTTCCAAACATAGCTTCTTCATATTATCTCATTAAGGTCAGAACCATGTCCCCAGTAATTAGATCTCATTTACGCTGCTCTCAATCTATTGACTGCAATGGGATTTCTCCTCATGTAGGCCTGATTCAATAAAGCACTTAAGCATCTGTTTATGTTAGAAGCATATGTAGAAATGTAAGGATGTGCCCCTAAACAGGACACCGTTTTAAGCATATAAGTTAAAGTCTGTGCTAAGTCTTATTAACTTCAGTGGGGTACTTGCCTAAATCAGGGTCTTATACCATTTAATGTAAGATCAGAATCAAGCCACAAATTCATTTCTTGTCAGCTGATGTTTATTGACCTCTAATGTATGAGAATAAATCTTAGCAATCCACAAACATGAAGACTTGTATTACCATGTTCCTCTGGGATTCCATTTAATTTAGACTTTGCTGCTGAAATGCTATACATGTACCATACTTCAGTCCAGTTTAAGTTTTTTGCTTGAATCCATTTTCAAGCATCTGTGAAAACTTTTGCCAAAATCTTCCTATTGTTTAGCACTCCCAAACCATATGTCTGCAGTACCTAATGCTTTCTAATCACTGGCAATATTGTTGTAGTCTCACAAGCCCAGACAAGTAATTTGTAAAGTTTGTTGTGAGATGGATATGAGATTTCTGAAGAAGATTTTGAAGCAACAAAGAAGAGTCTACCCCTAGAGAATTAACCTGTCCAAGCTTTCATGCAGAACTCATTTTTTCCGGGATAGGACACTGGATGTTTAGTCACTGCTACATATATGTGCAGGCAGTAGCAGGTATGATTAATAAAGCTGATTGTACAGTCTTAATGGATAGTCTCAGCAAATTGATTAATAGATTTCACAGTTACCAAACATACTCTCAGTTTCTTTAAAGAAAGCTGGGCCCAAATCAAAATCCCGGACCGGAGTATTCTCAAAATTTGGGCAAGGAGTTGTTTGATCAGAACCTGAACCCACACCCATGCTTGAATTTTGCAACTCAGCTCGGTCTTCAAAGTTCAGATAAAGGGAAGCAACCTAACCGACACACTCTCTTCATCAGCATTATTTTGCTAGGCCAGATTTCTCCCAGAATCAGCTCCAGCAAAGTGAACAGACTTATACCATGGATCTAGACTTCTAAAGTAGCCATTTGTCATGTACGTAAAAACATGCTTAACATCCCTTAAATTTAAAGGGACTTAAGTGTGTATCTCTGTGTTCTGCTGAATCCAGACCTTAAGACAAGTCTACACAGTAAAATGGACTAAATTGCCTATTCTTATTTAGCTCCTCTATTGAGTATTGTTAGGCCTTGGACACATGTTATTTTTGTAGTGCTAGATGCAGTGTCTGCTGCTGTAGTGCCACAAAAACCAAGTGTCCACATGCTCAGGCTTTTTGTAGTACCACAGAAATGGCAGACCTGGCACCAAAAAGTTTCTGTTTCAGACAGGAACTTCTCTTTAGCATTATTGGGAACTCTTACACCTCCAGCATCCCAGAGTGCTCTGCTCTGCCTCCTTCTCTGGAGTGGGAGAAGGGGAGACTAACTGGCTCCCTGAAAGCCCACATGGCCATTACATGGCCATTACAGCTCTGTTTGCAGCACAGTTGTTACAGACTGAACCCCGCTCCATGAAGCCCCTGGCACGGATCCTTGAGAACTCTTGGCGCTCTGGCGTAGTGCCTGAAGACTGGAAGAAGCCAATGTGGTGTCTATCTTCAAGGAAGGAAAGAAAGTGGATCCGGCAAACCATAGGCCCATCAGCCTGACTTCTATCCCGGGGAAGGTCTTAAAAAAGTTTATTAAAGAGGCCATCCTTAATGGACTGGCCGATGCCAACACCCTGAGGGATAGCCATCATGGGTTTGTTGTGGGTAGGTCTTGCTTGACCAATCTCATTTCCTTCTATGACCAGGTGACGTATCACCTGGACAAGGGGGAAGAGATTGATATCATACATCTTGACTTCAAAAAAGCCTTTGATCTGGTATCCCATGATCACCTCTTGGCAAAACTGGCCAATTGTGGCCTTGGGTCCACCAAGATCCACTGACTGGGAAATTGGTTCTGTGGTCAGATCCAGAGGGTAGTAATTGATGG